TTTATTTGAATCCCTTGCCCTGTTTTTTATTTAATGCTTCTCTGTGCCCCCATGAAAACACACTGACCCCCTCCTGGCCCCCTGGTACATTATGTCTAGAACCGCCACTGCTCACGTGTTCGCTGTATATGTTTAATGACTGCTTAGCAGGTAATTAGGTTAAAATGCTGAAAGGAACCACCACACTGTTTACACTGAATAGACTCAAGTCTGTTCATACTCAGAGATTTTTTTTCACATTTGGTTTCTTTACAATTAATTAGTTTTAGGTTCAATTAACAAAGTGGTTTTCATCAGTTAATGATTGCTAATAGACACAAAAACTCCCTCAAAATAAACAATTTCATAATTTTAAGTACTTCACCATCACAATGGACTGGCGACCTGTCCAGGGTGGACCCCGCCTCTCGCCCAGTTACAGCTGGAGATAGGCACCGCCCCCACTGTGACCCCAGCGGGGATAAGCATGACATAAAATGGATGGATGGATGATGTTGACACCATTGGCTGTAGGGATGCCGCGTTCAGAGTGATGTGCAGTGTTAGTTTTCTACACCAATGAACATTTCTGCACATGTAATCAGGCTTTGTTGTGATTTAATAACGACAGAACTTTATTTATCTCAAATTGGAGAAATTCACCTCAGCATTTAACCCATCCCCTTGGGGAGCAGTGGGCTGCCATTGTTTGGCACCCAGGGAGCAGTGTGGGGTTAAGGGTTTTGCTCAGTGACCCAGAGTGGCAGTCTGTGGGAGTGGGGCTTGAACTCAGAACCTCCTGATTCCAAGCGCAATGCCATAATCAGTTCAATATTCTCTTTTAGTAAACCGCCGCATCAGGTGAGAACGGTTGACTTCATCTCCAGTTATTTCTTCTTCTTTGGTTTTCATTTTGGGAATCCTTTTAAAGCAAGAGATTGAATTGTAATAAAGTGATTTTAAGGATGTCCAACGCAAATGGACATGAATGGGCCTGAAATGAATGGAAGGGACTAAAACTGCATAGCCACCAGTACAGAGCTTGCTCCACATCAGCAGCAGGTGGTGTCAAGGTTTGGTTGTGGTTTAGAGGACCCAGATGCAGAGAGGCTGAGGTGATTTCTTGCAGTTTGATTAATAAACACAAACAATTGAGGCACAAATCCAACTTAAAATGTAACACAAACCAGAACCATGGAGACATCAGGGGAAAATAATCACGAGGAGCCAGGGAAAGACGAGGTAGGACAGAAGAACCAGCACTGAGGAAAGAGAGGACTAACGAGCAGATTGGGAGCAGGTGTGAACAGAGCAGCAAAGGAAGGAGCTAGGGAAAAGGAGACCAACACAAGAGGGCAACAGAGGGAAACATAATAACCTTAGAACTCAAATATATCCAGAAAATACAACAAAATAGGAATTAAATCAATAAAACTACAAAAAACATGGAGCAAAGTAAAACATAACAGAATCAAGACTGTGACAGGTTGCCTGTAAAAGGTTCCAACGTGACAATAATAATTGACCTCACATTCAAGAAATCCACCTCTGCATTTAACCCATCCCCTTGGGGAGCAGTGGGCTGCCATTTTTCGGCACCCAGGGAGCAGTGTGGGGTTAAGGGTCTTAATCAGGGACCCAGAGTGGAGGCTGTGTGGATCGAACTTAGAACTTGGAAGTGCACTGCTCTAACCACTAGGCCAACACTCCCCAACAACATGTCATCCTAAATTACACTATTTATTATAAGAAAAACAATAGGATGCTAAGAATCTTTTAAAAATGTAAAAACTGTTGTTAATTTGTAATATTACATATTTTATTGATAGCTGATAATATATAACAGGTATATATATCTTCAGATTATAGCACATTGTAACAAGGTATATTTTTAGATATTTTTTAATTATTCTTTGCATCCAGTTATTTTTTTATTTTTGAATTAAATAGTACAAAGAAAATTAACAATAAAAAAAAAAATCTGGGACCTTTTCAGACATTAACTCCTTACAAATAAGATCTAATCCCTCCAGATTATAGAGTTATTGAATGACTGGACACACTTTTAATATTACCTGGTTTGTTTTTTTATTGTTTTTAGTATTCAAAATCTTATTCTGAAGCTCTTTTAAAATTCACCAAGAAAGGATATAACTTTAAATCATCATTTAATTCATTCCACAGCTTCACACCAATAAATGAAACACATCTAGACTTAATTTCTGGCTCTTCTCTTTTGCACATTCAAATATAAACACATTTATTTTCTCTTAACTTGAATAATTCCTGGATACCATAAGTAAGACATTTGTGCACTGTTTTAGATTATTTCCAGTATTTTTATATAAACAATATCTTTGAATTTTAATGTGTTGCTTTGAATGAAGAGCTTATCAGTTGGTTCCCACCTTATTAACAAGGCTTATAGCTTTTTTTGCATCATAACTAACCTATTTCAATAATTTTTTTACTTGCATTTCCCTATACTTCTGAACAATAAGACAAATAAGGCATGACCAAAGAGGAATATATAGCATGCAGGCCTTTGATATTTATTAAATCGTTTATTTTAAACTAGTGTTATGCTGATGGCATTTTTTGGCCCCGATACCGATACCTGGCTGTGCGTATCGGCCCGATACCATCTGTTTGAAATTGATGTGTGTGTATATGTGTGTGTATGTGTGCAAAAAAAAAAATTAGAAATCTCCTGTCCAGGGGTGATGCTGAGAAACTAGTCCATGCATTTGTTACTTCAAGGCTGGACTATTGTAATTCTTTACTATCAGGAAGTCCACAAACTGTAGTTAAAAGCCTTCAGCTGATCCAAAATGCTGCAGCCAGAGTTCTGATGAAAATTAAAAAGAGAGATCATATCTCGCCTATCCTGGCTTCTCTTCATTGGCTTCCTGTTAAATCAAGAATTGAATTTAAAATCCTCCTTCTCACATATAAAGCCTTAAATGGCCAAGCTCCATCTTATATCAGAGATCTGATTGTTCCTTATGTTCCTAACAGAGCACTTCGCTCTCAATCTGCAGGTTTACTAGTGGTTCCTAGAATTTCTAAAGGTAGAATGGGAGGCAGATCTTTTAGTTCTCAGGCTCCTCTCCTGTGGAACCAACTACCAGTTTTAGTCCGTGAGGCAGACACCCTGTCTACTTTTAAGGCTAGACTTAAAACTTTCCTTTTTGATAAAGCTTATAGTTAGGGTGGCTCAGGTTATCCTGATCTATCTCTATAGTTCTGCTGCTATAGGCTTAGACTTTTGGAGGACATAGGGACCCCCATTTCATCATTCTGCTTCATTCTCTCTCTGTTCTCCTATTCTGCAGAATCTGTTTGTTCAATCTCTAACCTTCTGCTCTCTCTGCTTTTCCTCAGAGTAGCTTTGCCTCGTCTGTTCCTGTTTGGCTGTGACGTCATCCAGGAAAGAAACATCAGCTGTGCTGCTTCCATCAACACCCTTGTTTGTAGATGTTGGAGATCGTCCTGTTTTCCAGTGTGGTCCTGTTTCTCTGGCCGTGGCTGGGTGGATGTGCTCTCTTCATCCTCTGCCATGGGAGCTGCCTTGGAGCTCGTCTGCCTGGCTGTGTGTTTCCTGGACGGGGCCGCCTTTTACAGCTGCTTTTTGTATCTCTGCTTCTGTCTCCTTGAACCCCAGTCGGCCTCAGCAGATGGCCGCTCACACTGAGCCTGGTTCTGCTGGAGGTTTCTTCCTGTTAAAAGGGAGTTTTTCCTCTCCACTGTCGCTACAAGCATGCTTAGTGTGAGGGATTGTATTTGAGTCAATGAGTCAATGCAATCAACTGGTTTTCCTTAGATAGAAAACTTTGTATCAATTTGACTGTATGATCCGGTTGAACTGTAAAGTGCCTTGAGATGACATGTGTTGTGAATTTGGCGCTATATAAATAAACTGAATTGAAATTATATATGAAGAACTGCAGACTGCTTGGATGTAAAATAATTGCCATCATGGCTTCATGTCCAGCTGCTGCCTTCCTTTGTGTAGCAGGAAAAAGACTAAAACAAAGTGAATCCAGTAGAACTTTTTATTGCCTACCTAGAAAGGGTGACAATAGTTGAAGAAACTTTTGCCTCTCAAAATGGTATCAGTGCCCTATTTGTTTGTACTCACCGATACTGATACCACCATTTTAGTGCTGGATTGGGGCCCCATCTGATACTGGTATCGGTGGAGACACTATTTTAAACAATATTCCAATAGTTTTTGCAACTTTATTTTACTTTAATCAATTGTTTATAATAATCCCTAAAAATGTCGTCTCATAAACTCTTTCAGTTTCAACTTTATACATAACTTTATATTTACTACTTTCTACTTTCAATTTATGACACAGAGGCAATAAGATAACTATGGAAGAGGATTACGGCCACAGGGAAAAAAAAAGTTAACTGATTTTTAAATTTTATTTCAGTTTGGTACAGGAAAAAAGTCAGAATTCTAACTTTAATCTCAGAATTCTGACCTTTTTTCTCAGAATTCTGACTGAATTCTGACAATAAAAGAAGTCAGACTTCTGAGATTAAAGTCAGAATTCCGAGAAAAAAGTCAGAATTCTGAGATTAAAGTCAGAATTCCGAGAAAAAAGTCAGAATTCTGAGATTAAAGTCAGAATTCTGAGAAAAGTCAGAATTCTGACTTTTTTCCCATACTAAACTGAAATAAAATTTAAAAATCTGTTCATTTTTATTTTTTTTTCAGTGGCCCTAAGATAGATAGATAACAGAGCAAAAGATCAAAAAGTCACAGCAGGACTTTCTGATGAAAGGATCCAGAGCCCATCCACCTTGACATGGCAGCCATAGAACCAGGACTAAAGCGTCAGTCATCTACAGGGCAGATGTGGCGGCGGGAGGAGTTTTTCAGGTTTTAAGTAGGCCACCAAAGTTTCGTGTGTGCGTGTTTTTCTGAAAACACGGAGCCTGCGTGCGTACACACTGAAACCGGAGCCAGCATCTCGTGACTGTCGTGCACGCACACGCGCACCCACAAACGTCAGTACCCTCGTATGACGATTTGTTTGTCTGACCAATCACAAAGCTCAGCGGATGCGGGCTGGCCAATGGCATCGGTGAAGGGAGGTGACGTGAACGTGGCTAGCATACCACCGCTGTACGCCTGTGAACTTGTAGCAGGAGGCGAAACAAGAAGAAGAAAGCGTCAAAGAAAGAAGATGGCGAGAGGCGGCCGCTGCTTACGGAGAGTAGCGGAATACCTGAAGCAGCTACCGAGCACAGCGAGCCGGGAAATCCAGACCAAGAGCAATGTCAGGTAAAAGAGGCGGACAGTTTTACTGTCGACTGAACCCGGTGGGTGTCGGGGGGAGAATCCGCCGAGGCTCCGGCAGACGGACGGTAACCGGAGCCTTAGCGAACTTAATCCGTTAACGTTAGGGGTCAGGAAGCTCGGTTTACCGGCAGCTAAACGTGCAGAGGTTTAGGCACTAACGCCATTTTTGGTGTTAGATGTTAGCTGGATGTTTCTGATAAGAACAACTTCGCTTTTTTCCCACCAAAGTCTGAAACGTCAGGGGCGTAGCTGGGGGGTAAAGCCGATTTGGGGCCGGGGTCTGCTAACGTTCATTCCAACCACTGGTGGAAACCACCGTCAGCTAGGGTTAGCCAAACGGATCCGGTGTGAATTAAACTTGGATGAGCTGAAACCTGTGGAGAAAATGTTACTTTGCTGCTGGTGAAACTGAAATCCAGGAAAAAGGGACTGACATGTTGAATTCCTTTATTTTAGTCTGTTGATAAGATTAAAATTGAATAAAGTAGTCAGATTACTTTTTAATGTCACACTGTGCTAGAGTGAGATTTTAATGAGAATCTGAATAATAAAATACCACTGGCTTTTAAGTTTCATATTCATATAATGTTCCCTAGAATATATCCCTATGAGATGACGTCACAACTTTAAATAAAATGATTATAAACAAGCATTGCAGCTTATGCTTGTTGGTTTCTATGAAAGAAATGCTCTTTGATGTCAGGTTGAACGTTTGGCTTTTTGTGCAGAAAATGTTCTTTATGATAGAAGTATCGAAGGCTGTCAGAGACGTGAAGGGGCTGTAGGAAAAGGAAGCAGTATTTAAAAAAAGTCGACTTGTCATTTATGAATCTTACCAGGGAGAAAGTGAGACTTTCAGCAGATAACAGGAAGGCTAAGGGTTTAACAACATGGTGCTGAATGATCCTTCTGAGCTTTTAACATCAAATATAAAGTCATAGGGAAGTCATATTTAAATGTCAAATCATTCTGGCCTAAATATGTATATAAATGTACTCGTTATCAGACTATATTGTCCCAAACTTGAGAAAGTTACTGTTTTAAAAAAAAAATCCTGTCTTAAAATCTGGTTTTTTTTCATTAACTTCTGCAGGCCAGTTAGTTCTACCTCAGCCTGAACACCTAAATTCGGTCATTTATCAATCAATTTTTTCGGTCATACGCAGCTAATATATGCAACGGTTGAAATCAGAATCCTCCCCTTTCCCATTGAGTTCCGTCCCAGTGTTCACGGGGATGGACGTCTGTGTCTTCGGCAGGCGTAGAGCTTGTTATTGGTATTTATTAAATTGAAAAAGCTAAGTAGAGACTCTGATTATAATTTATCATTTCGAATAACTACAGAAAAAAGGATCATTTGTCTTTCCAAAGAGCTTTTAAAACTTTTAAACTCTGTCTACCTGTTGAATCCCCGAATCTCCCATAGAAACTGTTCAGATGTTTTATTTTAATCAAATATTATAACAAACAAAGATGGCTGTTGAGCTAAAGTTGAGCATTTCTTCTGTGGATCACCTGCAGGAGTTCAGCTGTGGGAGGTCAGAACAAAGTGTCAGCCGGATCATGTTCCAGGTACTGGGGAACTGCTGAAGGTCAGCATTAGGAACAGCAGGTCCCTGCTGCACATCGTGACTAGGGGTGTGCAAAATAATCGTCATGATGATGCATCGTGATTCTAATTTTCGTGATCTACTGCATCGATTCTTGACGCCAAGTATCGATTATTAATTTAAAAAAAATTATAAATAAAATTGCATGAATGGTTAACGAACATCAGCCAAAAACAAGTGTAGTACAACTTCCAGTCCAGTAGATGTCACTGCGGATGTGTTGACTCACGCTGCCTTGTGTCACAAGCATTTCCGGCCCCGGGTTACTGCGCCGAGTCATTCAAAAACAAAACATGGAGGAGAAAATATTAAAAATGCATCGCAATAATTCAAGTATCGTGATGCATCGTGATAGAATCGCATCGTGGCCTGTGAATCGGGATTCAAATCGAATCGTGACATCTTTGGCAATACCCACCCCTAATCGTGACCAACAGGCCCTTTTATCTGCTGATGAAATCATATTATAGCTTTCCATAAAATTACAATTGGATAGGTCTGTTTATTATTATGTAAAAGGTATGTGTGGTATACAGCTGTGTCGGGTTGTAATGTCACAGATTATGTTCTTAGTGCTTAAAGCCTTGAGGAAAGGAGGTTGTTGTGGTTTTGAATTGGTGTGGTTTTGGCTTTTGTAATGTTTGTAGACCTGTGGTCACTTTTTTGGTGTCACAGGGATGAGGTCAGGTTTAGCCTGTCTGGTCATTTAGGCGATGTGTCCGCATGGATCTGGTGTTCTGGGAGACCTAAACAAAAAACATAACCAAATGTGTTTTAAACTTGGACCCAGAGTAGAAACATTTCAGGAAGACAGTTTTATGTTTGTCTTCTTTTCTGGAACAATGACGGCATATCTCCATCTCTGCCTCTGTAGCGACTGAGGGGGGGGGGGGGGGGGGGGGATGGGTGGCGGCATGCCACTTCTTAAAAGAAATCTTAAAAAATCATCCCCTTCTTAAATGACCACCCTCCCCACCCCCATACCGTCCCCTGTGACATTTTATCACTGAATGAGTAAAATGTCTACTATGTATTAACAATAATGGCAATAATATTGCCCTTTCAACATTTGCAAAATTTTTTATATATTTAATTTTATTATTTCATATAAGACCTGGATAAACATCCTGTTTTTTTTTATTTTTATTAATAAAACAGTTTAAGTGTTCAACAAAATAAATGGAGTGCAAAGTTCTATCCTGGTTTTTCTGAAAAATTATCCGATCCGTGACTTAAAACCGCGATACAATCCGAACCGTGACTTTTTGATCCTTTACACCATTAGTGTTTACACCTTTTGTTAAAGTTTTTTATCAATCATTGCTGTTTTCCCCATTTTGATCAACCCCATTGGTCCCTGTCCCTTCGTTCAGCGATGCGTTTATTGGATCGTGCCACAATAATAGGGCTCAGAAACATCTGCTGCCGGACTATGTGGAGCAGGAACCACTTGTTGGATCGAGCCAATAAAAGCAGCAGGAACATCCCTCAGCAGCGGCCAATCACAGAAGCCCTGTCGGCTGCTGCTGTGATGGTAACAGGAGCCATTATAGGTACGAGGTCATAGCTGGAGTATAGGTTACAGCGAGCGAATAAAAGAGTCCCCATGATGCCGTCAGGAGGGATCTGGGTCAAACCTTTTCACCTAATCCAGTGGATCCGCTTGTGATTATCAGATGAGTCACTTTTTAATTAAAGTCTCCAAACGTTTAATAATTTCTATGAAGTTTCTCTCTAGTTTTATTGATTTAATCAAATCATCTGCATTTATTTATGGCCGTCTTGTAGAAGAAACAGTTTAAACATGGGAATGACTCCACTTCAGCACATCATATGGCCCGCTGTGTTCCACCTCCGCAGGAGAAGTTTGAATCCTCTGTCCAACTTCAGGGTGAGGAGAGTTGTAATTCCTCAAAGTGAACCTCAGACTCGGAGTGTGTACAGAAGGTCTGAAACCCCTTCAGGTATTTTTAGCACTGGAGTGAATCTATAACAGTTCCTCAATCTGTCTGCAGAAGATTATGCAGTGAAATCAATCTTCCTTTATTCAGATAATCAGTATTGGACAAACCACAGTTGATTTCAAACAGGCTAATCATTTAATCCCATGATTACCCAAGCAGGACACCTTTAAACAGATTGAAAGCTCTGATGATTTAAAGTGCCTTTGATCATCATGCAGAGCAGCTGGGTTAATTATTGATCACCTATCACTTCACAGAAGAAAGATGGAGGAAAAAATCCTAAAGGTTAAACTAGATGTGTTTTTATTGACATTTTAATGAGCATTTCAAGGTATCACTTTAGAAGAGGTTGATATAAACGGAAAAATCTGAATCATCTGACTACATTTTTAACACTCCTTTGAGGTTGATTTTGACTTTTTCAAAAAGAAGGAATGCATTTAAAGCATCTGTAAAAACAAAGAACCTGTACAATAAAGCTAAAAACACATTAAAATTATTATTAGGGCTGCAACTAATGATTATTTTACAAATAAATTAATCTGTTGATTATTTTTTCGATTAATAATCAGATAGCCAAAGTTCCCTTAAAGAATTTTTATGAAATGAAACCAGGTGAAACTAAAACTTTTCCACTTGAGGAGTTCTGGATAGGGCTGATTAGATTTTTTATTTTATTTTTTAATCTTAAAAGCAAAATGTTTATCCATTTTTTTTTTTTTTTTTTTTTTACAATTTTGATATAATTCCTGCTCTGAGTGGGTCGCTCTGTCAGCTAAAGGCATATTTTACAGTCTCTATACTCCAGTTAACAATTAATCGATCACTGAATTAGTTGATAATTATTTCAAGAATCAATTAATCATGATTAATCTGTTTGTTTTAGCTCTAATTATCAGTTTCAGTACTGGGAATGGGGGTGAATCCAGACTTTGGGAGCAGAATATTTGTTGAATAATTTCTGACTATAGATCAACTAATGCGGGTTCTTAAAAGTCGATACTGATAATTTTGAATGCCGATATTTGCTGCCGATTTCTTTTCTTTTTTTAAGCTTATTTTGCTTTATCTTCCTCCTTTTATGTGATTAAAATGACCCAACACATTAGCAAAGGAAAACAAATGGAGGAAGCAGCAATACATGCTCTCCATGTGACCTGGAGACATGGCTGCACTGACGGGTTGGAGGCATGCAGATCGGCTGATACACGGAAAAAAACAACTCAGATTAAGGTTGGCTGATATGTCAACCGATATTCGTCAGTGCAACAAATGGACGACGTATCGGTGGAGGTGACTTTGTGTGCAGAGACGAGTACACCTTCAGAGTGCATCGTCTGCTCCGCGCTAATATTGTTAACCACCTGCACACACTGATAAACTCAATAAAGTAAAAATGCTTGTTTTC